AACAATTAGCTTTAATTTAAAAAATATATAAAATACGAGGTAAAACTCAGCATATTCCGACCTCAGAGATGATTAATTTAAAACATTCAAACAACCATTTAAATCAAGAAAGGATTATTTTAATTCTTACACTTCGTCATACAATTATAAGCTATCTATCACTTTATTGATTGTAACTTATAATTGTATGATTGAAGAGGACAAGATGGATGGCTTTTCGGATAAGGATCAAATGGGTGATTGTGTCATAAACCTTATGGATGTTAGGATTATAGTGAAGAGATTTAAGTATAACGACAGGAACGGAAATAGTGAATATAAATTAGGAGGATGGTGAGAAGATCCCTGTTATCATGGTATTGAAATCCATCCATGTGTTTGGGATAATTAGTAGAAGCCAAATTATTCTAATGAGTGAGGATTTTGGCGACAGTCGATGTGAGCGTAATTGGCCACTTTGGTTGAGTCCTTGCCAGGTTTGTGAATGGAGTGAATGATAACGCGTTTTATTTCAGGTAGGAATTCGCCACTTCCCGTAGCTGGTTGTATAAGGCGAGGAATTGTTCTTGGGTCGTGGGGCTTAAAGTGCTCAGGCCCACGATCTTGATGCCGTTGTGGCCCAGAGACATGTTTTTACCTTTGTGGAAAACCCTACGTAAATCTTCAAGAGAAATAGCGTTTATACCAACGACAGGAGTTAGCAGGAATATGAAAGGAGAGATGGTTTGTAGAAGGGGGAAAGAGATACTTTGAGAGAACGGAAACAGCCTGAGCGAACAGATCATGTAATGAGGGATGAATCACAGGAGAGGATGTCTGAGATATAAGAGAAAGTAGAAATAGTCCAATAATTCTGGTTGGAGATTTTGTCAGCTTGATGATGGGAAGACATTTCCAGCCGGTCTGTGAGGGAGTTCATCATATGCAAATGTGATACTCTAGGTCTAGGAGATAGGCTGAGAGTTGCAGGTCAACGAGTCGTTGCCGACTCTTTCATCAACATCTGCCTCCAAATGCATGACTGATAAACCGGGATGGACAAGGGAAGTGCGGACGTCCAAGTCTTGTTGATCAGCTTCGTCCTGGTAAAAAAATTCTATGATTGACAACCAAAAGACCTATTAATGCTTCTCTCTACAGCTTAACCAAGCTTAAATCACTTTGTCGAAGATTTTTTCTAGTTTGCGGTAATTGAATATGACTACGTTCTCGGGTTCGTTGACAAAATCCGCACTTTCGGAGTTATACGTTCAGATTTTTTCCGATTGATAGGCTGAGAGTTGATAGCTCTAAGTACGCTAATAATAATTTAAACTAACAAACTGAATAAAAGTTATTTCAGCACGTTGAACGCTACAGACAATTATATCGTCATCTTCCTTGTTTGGATTAGTCACTAGTATAGTAGAGTATTGCCATCTTTTGAGCGGACACTAGCTTATTCCATACAATACGATACTATCGATATCTACGATATTGACGTTTGATATTATAAAATAGCGATATCTTTTATACACGATATTATATCGATACGATATCTAGTTTTAACACGCTTTAGGAAACAAAATCCCTTTCACTTATGTAAAAGAATCCTTCATAGCCTGTATTTAAAGTCAGTTTCTACGTAAGCCTTATCACTTCTTTTATATCCTTAGGAAATATTAAAAGTTTGGAGATTCAAAATTAACAGAAATTATATATAAATATATTTTGAATTCTTTAGACATTCATCATTCTGAAACCACATGATGCCGTACAGCACATTATTCTCATGCTGCTTGACAAGCATTACATTAACGTTACAATGGTCTTGGTGGTCCAGTATCTTGGCCTGCTGGATCACCCGATTTAAATCACTTGACTTTCTTTTACGGGAACATCTTAAAGGAAAGATATACCAGGATAAATTGTACCTACCACCCCAGAAAACATGCAGGAACGAATACAAAATTCTTGAAAAATATTCCAGAAGAAACACTTTTAACCTGTCACCGATCTTTTCTTGAACACGTAGAAAAATGTATCGAGGTTGAAAGCCATTTTTTAATATTTGTTAGATTAATTTCTTCATTACAATTGATTCGTTATGTTTTGGCAATAAAAAATTGGTTTTCATTTTGAAAAGAGAAATTTTGTTAACCTTCGTTTAAAATTGAAATGTTGTGAAAACTAAAAGTGATAAACAGAAAAACATTTCATACTTAAGTTATTTGTTGTTTCGCATAGAATCAAATGCTGTTTTCCTTCTTCAAAACAAACAAATGCTATTTTTAACATTTCTCCTCTGCAACACTGTTTTTGAGATATTTTACTATTTCACGTTGTATGACTCACCCTGTTTAATTAAATTTTTACTTCCAAATTATTTTATAAAATATATATCAATGTTTTAACTTCATGATATATCACAATACTGTAAATAAAATTTCTTATTCATTTTTCGTTAATTTATGTTTTCAAGTTTTGTCTACAAACATTTAAAAAAATTCTGTTGAAGTGTAATAAAATAACAAATGTAGAGAGCGATCCCTTACTTGAATATACGTTCTGCATTAAGCTTTAACCAGAAAAATATTCATTAAGAAGACATCTAAATAAAGAATAAGATGTGTATACAGTATTTATATAAAGTGTGTGAATAAAAGTTTATAAATTATATTCAATGTATTGTATTCCTTAAACATTACACGGTGTAAGTTTTTACAGTATTTGGGCTGAAATTTAAAATGTATAATTTTTATTTGATAAATCTAACACTAGAATATGACGAAACAATATGAAAAATGATTTTAATTTCGTCCACTAGATGGCGGCACTCTTCTAGATAGATACTAAACGAAACACCTAACACCGCTGAGATCGAGATAAATAGAGCTTCGTATAAGTCTTACAATATATTATAAGTGGAAAAAAGCGAATTTAGGGAGATAAAATAATAAATTTTTTCAGAATTATTGATAATTACTCCAAATTGATTTTTATTAATAATTTAATAAACTAAGATACAGTAGAGCCTCGATTATCCGACCCAATTGGGGACTGGGGTTGGTCAGATAATTGAAAAGTCGGATAACCGAAAAGTATGAAAAAATCCATTATTAGTGTAGTATATTATTATATCCCATGTAATTAGTATATTAGTATATCGCTATTAATCTACTTCGCGTTGAATTTTCATCGATGTTAAGCCTAACAAAAATTTTTTAAAATAATAATCATCGCTATTGTATCGTTAAAAATTAGAAAATTAAGCCTCGTTTAAATACTGGCTCCCTTTCATGGTCGAATGAGTGTTGCCAGCTAAAACACGTAAAAATAACATTAAAGTAGCCAAGAGATAGCCAAATATTGTAGCGCCACATCACTAGCGGACATTTGAAATTTGCCGACTAGGACGGTCGGTTAACCGAGGTGTCGGTTAATCGGGGGTCAGATAATCGAGGCTCTACTGTACATCTTTGACAAATGTCATATGCATTTTTCAAAATGAATGTCGTCATGGTGGAGTAACGATTGGAATCCCGTGATAGAATTTTCGTATTATGATTTTATTACGCCAGCTATGATTTTTTCAAAATATTATAATTTATTACTACGAGGTGATACAGTTTCTCGTCACATAGGCTACGTTAATCTTCGGGTAATTCCACAATCCAAAGTTGCACGATGTTAAATTATGAAACTAGGTAGGCATGTTGTTAATAAACGATTAATTGATTTTAGCAGTAACGATCTTAAATTAACAAAGTCAATTAAATTAACAAAGTCAATTAAATTAACAAAGTATTTTAGTTATCGGAAGTATTCGTAGTGTATAACTTTCCTCGCTAAACCGGCCATTAAACTTTCTTAACGTTGGCAAAAGCCTTTTTTTTTTTTTATCTTTCTCTCTCTCTTGCCTAATTTACATTAGTAGTTTCTGTGGCAAAAGCCGACGGCTTAAAGGAAAACAAATTCACAAATTGCCAAAATCGGAACACCATCAACAAAATAAAAACATTTTATTGTTTTCCTTATTAAAACCACCACTCTTTTCTATTGACCCGGTAAACTTAAATAATATTTTTTAAGAAACGTTACATATTTTATTTATTTTTACAAGTAAAAGAAAAGTCCCGAAGGACAGATGATGTCTACTCCCAAAATTAACAAATATACATAAAGACAACAATAATATAAAATTTAAAAATACACTACATTATACATTAAACACAATATACATTAAAACAAAAAAGTATAAAAGTTCTTCGAAAGAACTGCTTTTCTTTGATGTGCTTCTGACGTGTACTCACCGAAATATGCTAATAGAATAGCTAGTAGTTGTATCTGTAACTTGAAATAATGGCGTAAAATAAAGATGAAATGATAACAGCATATCTGTCACTGAGAATCTCAAAAAGTTTAAGGTTTTGTCATATTCCAAATATCGAGCAACAGATCTAATATTTTCAGATCTTGCATCCATATATCTTGTGTCTTTTAGCAATATCTAAGATTAAGATTTGGATATACGAGCACTAAAGTACCTCATACCAACTTATAGTAGTATGAGAACTGCATTTACGGGAAACCTTTATTATAAAATCATTATAAATTATTATAACATTTTTGTTGTTCGGAATAAGATAATTTTCCATTTCGAAAAAATTGTTGATTGACTCAGCGATTAAAATGTTCTCACGGACTTAGTTCCTTGTTTAAAGAGACACCGCATATGCGTCACTCGGAAGTAAAGAGTGAAACTCGATCATTGGGCCCGAAGTACTAAATCTCCGGGTCGAATCATGGGAAAAACCCAGGAGAGACCCCCTTATAAACAAGAGGGGACAATGACGACGGAGGCTTTTCCCGTGTGCGGGCTCTCCACCATAGCCGCTTCCTAGATCAACCTGTGGATTAGCACCTGAACTTAATTGGATTTGAACTAGCACCCGATTCAATTAAATTCTGAACCACTTTGGAGAGGCCTAAGGACGAACCTACATCAAGGACCTACTCGAACTCCAGGTATTTGTCGTCGCGCGAAAGTTTTGTAAGTTCTCTCTCTCTCTTGATATGATAAGCTTCCCCGTTGATGGTTACTCGAGTTAGTGAGAAAGCTAGCTCCTCAGTCTCAAAATCCTGTAAACAGCCTCTCTGAATAAACGGGAGTTTGTTAAATGAATAGCCTCTTGGAGTGCACTTCTTCCGGATATCTCCCTCCGTCTCCATTCCAAACTTAAGCTTCCACAGACGTGACTACTCGCGTGTACCTGCGAATGTAACGGTCTGTGTCTACTCAAAGACACAGTGGTGTCAGTCCTGACGAAGTTGTCATTGCGGTCTTCGCCTACGCGATGTCGACCCTTCGGTCCTGTGGTGCGAAGAATGTGGTCGAGCCCTTCGGCATTGTCACAGTAGCATCGCGTTAGTAGTAGTAAACGTAATTGGTACGAGCTGACAGATTGCAAAAACTTCATTTACTTCACAATTAATTTATTAAACAGCATTCATTATGTATAAACTCTGCTACTGTTTGTACTGTCAATAAAAGAAATCTGTAAAAACTAATAATGAAGACACGTACGATTTGTTATCAAATAGAATGTACAGTACTACCATTTAAAGTCCTGCAAACTCACCAATTGTAACAAGCACAGCTGATGAGGGATGATAGACTGTCCGAAAAGCATACGAAAGTTTAAATTGGATTATAGAATTTCGGAATATGATGAAGTCGTAGATGTCCACAAACCTATGATTAATAAAAAAAATTTTTATTAATAATTGAAAAGCTATAAAAATAATAATTTTTACGTATTTTATTAACTTATACCCTATCTACAACTAAATTTAGTATATTTAATTACATCAATTTAAAATTTAACTACAATTAAATCATAATTAAGTAATTTAAATATAATCAAAATGGTCATAATCCTGTAATTAATAAAAAGAAAATAAAATAAGCAATAATAGCAGAAACACGATGATGATGATGATGATAGTGGTGGTGATGGAATGATCTTGAATAATGCATTTGTTAACATGAATCACGATTCGCATTCTATAAAAAATGATTTATTTATTTGTTATGCATATCACACCGCAAAATTTTGATCATTGTAAAAAGTTAATATATAATATACTTTAAGGTTAGTTGAAAGAAAACGATGTTATAGAATTTAGAAAATAATATTACGTATCAATTCATTATTCCTTAATTGAAAATACAATTATATTTGTAGATTTATAAAAGACTGAATAATATATCTTAAACTAAATTATACATCATTAATATTACTTTCCTGACTCTGTTATATATAACAGAGGAAAAGTAAGGCAATCGGTCAAAAAATGACCTCCTACGAATTTTACACTTTTGGTCTCAGTAAACCCTGAAACATCGAGAAATGCAAAACACTTCGTTTAGCCCATTTTTTAAAAAATATTGAAATTTACCGGGTAGCAGCTCAATAAAATCACCATTCTTTTCGAATGGTAATTTTAATAAAGAAAACAATAAAATAATTTGTATTTTGTCTATCATTTATCTCTTATTTTGTCGCCCAGATATCCGTCATCCAGTTAGCGGTAGCCCAGTTGATCATCCGTTGTCCAGATGGCCAATGCCCACTGGCCGTCGTCCAGTTGAACGTATCCCAGATAAGGTACAGTACCTTACCTCTGTCTCCCACTCCCTCGACTTTAACCACAAAGATTTAATATCATCAATCCTCCTAATACACAAACCTCCCTGCAATATTTCAGAAATTTTCGACAAAAAGCGCAAGTGTTATTAAGCTTTAAAATAGGTAAACAAAATTGCGCCCCTATAAACCCTAACATCCATACATATAGAAAAAACACCACGAGTTTTTGTATTTCTCGACGTTTCAAGGTCCCCTGAGTCCAAAAATGTAAAAGTCTTTGGGGGGGTCATTTTTTGGCCGATCGCCATTCTTTCCCTCTGTTATATATAACAGAGCTGGGAAAGTAAAATGAACAACAGTGAATACTGGTATAAATAATAACAAATACATTTTTTTAATTTAAAAATTTACTTACATTCCTTTCTATTCTTTCTTGTTTAGAAAGGCAGTGCTGTAAATATATTAAAAATTAAATGCGATTCACAATATTTTCATTTAAATATTCGAGAAAAAGCGACGATAAATACTGACCATATAATCAATATTTATTGCTGCTTTTCGTTTATCGTCATTATATAATCTATATCTATCTATATATATATATATATATAAATGGACATGTATGTCCCTATATTTCACTTTTTCGCCAAAACTACACATCGTACGTGAATGGTGTTTGTATGTGGTAGTAGCCCCAAGTCTCCATTCGTGCACTATGGTGGTTGAGTCTCGATAGCTATAAGGGTGCGTGAGATATGGGGTTTAAAGTGGTTGACTTCGAAGATGTGTAACAATGGAAGTGTCAACAATGGAAGTGTTAACAATAGAAGTGTTAACAGTGGAAGTGTTAAGAATGGAAATGTTAACAATGGAAGTGTTGAGTAACAAAGGAAGTGTTAATATAAAGCGGCATGCAAGATTTACAGGCGGTTTTTTGCGCTTTTGCGGGTCCTTGCAGCTAGATTCTAGATTACTTAGAAAAACAGTCTTTTATATATATATATATAAAACTATACAATTACATACAAATAAAAACCCAGCGAAGCGGGATCTTGCAGCTAGTATATAATAAAAATTGTTCATTTTTACGTACATTTTAGTATTTCGACTAAACAATTATATTGAATCGAACGCTTTCAAAATGTCAGATCCACTTGGTTAGATTTATTTTATTACAGCAACGCGATAAGTGGACGATCTGCCGAGAGGTAAATGCCTTCCGAAAGACCTTTAGAGGGAAATGGCCCCTCTTTAGGTGTTACTTAAATGAAGAAAACCCAGAAAACTCTAATTGGCCAGCTTGTTGGCGATGCGAGAACCCATGACCAATTACTCGGCCACTGATGGGACCGGACCCACTTGACACAACATTCTAAGGAGTTTTATCGTTTTTGAGTAACAAATTTCTGTGCATTCTGTTGACCTTCACTGAAAGTGTGAGGTTTTTTTCGGCCATGGAATATATCAATGGCGATCGCCGAAATTGAGTGGGATCAGAGCTTTTAAAGAAGCGAGTCTTCCTCCACAAAAACTTGCCACTTTATGAAAAAATAAAATATGCCTAATATCGTTTTGTATTTCATTAAAGATGAACGTCAATATTTCAAAACCTAATAAAGTGGCTAATATTAATTTTGAATTAATAATTATTACGAATTAGGAAGGCAGATCGCCCAAATTTTTTTGAGCTAATATTATTTTCAGCCCAATAATTTACTTAAAAACAAGGAGTATACTTTTGTACAAGTTATGCCTTGTATTCGGATTCATGAGATGAGCAGATATGAGCAGGTAAGACTCTACCTGGACGCAAATTATAGGCTTACTTGAACTTCCAAGTAACGTCACTGTGTCAAACATGACGCGTGATTTGCATTAAATTAACTATTCATTTAAATTTGTTTAAAATTAAATTCATTTATATTTTCAAATATTAAAAAAATTAATGGCTTTGATTTACCTGATTATTATTGTATACGTTTCCCTTTCTTTTTAGATCCAAAATTGCCCCATATTCGCAACAATTAGAGATTCCAATATATTCCTAAAATAGTTAATGTTTTTTTAATATTATAAAACTTTTAGACATAAAATATATTGCGATAGAAATTGGTGTTACATCAATATCCAAATCACAAACTCTATTCAGCTTTTCACTTGAACTCAAAGATACTCCAAATTCAGAAATGGAATTATAACAATGTTCAAATATCTCAAAATTCTAAAATAATAAATAATAAAAGAAAATGTTAATAATAATGATATTTTAGCTATTTATTTGTTAAAATAATTACATTAACATTATATAAAAATATATTTTATGCTTACTCTGCTACCGTTAAGTTGTCTTACACATTCGGATATTGCTTTTCGATCAGTCAAAGCTGTATAAAAATTAAAATAGCATTAAAATTTAAGCATAATAATTATAATTCTTTTATGCATATATTACTGTTAAAGTATTGAATGCCATTATTCTATAGAATACATGTCTGGTTTAGGTAAAGTTTGGAATGAATTAAAAATAGTTTAACTAGTTATTCTAAGGAATAGATAGATGTTCTATGAATTAACTAACCAGTGTTAGAATATGAAATAGAAGTAATAAAATAAATGCAACTTTAACTTGCTAAATAATTTTATTTTATATAATAAATAAATACTGTAAAACTATAATAATTTCTATTTATTAAAACAAGGAGTGCTGGAGTGGAATTTGGAATTGAAGAGAACATTATTTTTTAGACAAGCACATCCTTTGTTGTCACATTGTTTTTTGCATGAGCATTTCTTGAAGACCTGACCCATACCAACACTTTGGGTTGTAGTGATAAAATAGAGTGATATTTCAATGTTCGGTATTTCGTCAATTGATATTAATTTTTGTTCGCAGACACTAAATTGATTCCTGTAATATAACAGTTTGAGGCGCTTATTTCTTGTTTCCAATTGATAGAATCACTTTTTAATTTCTTCCATAACAAGAATGGATCTGGAATCTCTTCTTCCTCTGTCAACATCAGGCACCGGAATACGAACAGTCCTTCCTACATATGCCCCAGAATGTGACAGTAATTTCATTTTATTTGCTTGTATTTCCAAACATTCTTTGGCCTCTTCTCTTTTTCTGGACATTCAGTTTATTTTATATAACTTGCAGATCTTCTATTCAACATCATCTTCTGAAATGTAGCTTTCTAGGTGATCCTCAGGATCCCTTGAGCAAATTTCTCATAATATAGATGCGGTTCTTCAACTCAAGTGTCCTTATTTCGTGTTTCAGACAAATCATCTTGCAAATCATGTTTATTATTCAATGAATCAAATGCTTTCCTTGAAATGGGTGTAATGACAATCCCTCCTTTGCTGCATACCCGAACATAGCTTCGTAAGATTTCTTTAAACCAGAGTGGAAGCTCTATTTTTCATGAACTGAATAAATTTTAGACCGTTACTCCATGAAGTAGATTAATTATCTTGCATTCAGGTTGTCAGCATATTTTCTATGTCTTGGTTGGCTCTCTACAATTTCTTCACTCTGACTGTACCTTGGTCTCCCGTGTACAATTTTAAGTTCTGGCCAAGTTACTTTTAAGTCTTCTATGAGCATATTGCAAAATTCGCGGCTATTATCAGACTGAAACATGCAGGATGCACCGAGAAGCACAAATATATCAAGTAAGTGTGTACCAACTTCTTCGGCCCTCTTTGTTTGGAGAGGCCTTAAAACAACAAACTTAGTCAGGTGAACATGGTACGCCAAAATAAACTTGTAGTTTCTATCAGGTTGAAACTGAAAATCTATCAGATCTACCTGACATCTTGAATTCATATGTGAAAATAGCATTGACTTCACAATAACTTGACCATCGACTTTACAAAACAACTTTTCTTTCCCATGTTTCCTTTTTGTTGGCAAGACTCGCAAACACTCAAAAACATCTTGTTATCTCCTTGAGTAATATTCTTGTAATGAAGATTCAGTTCTTTTATCATCCGATCTCTGCCACCATGTCCAAAAGAAATATGTGTTTCGTACAGCATATCAAACAGATCATTACTTGAACATTACAATATTACCCCTGCTTCTGTACTTTTATAATTTCTCTATTCCTTGAACTTCCAGAATATCATAATATTGAAGTAATCTCTAGGTGTTTTCTTGTCAGTCAATCTAGCTGTCTTCACTTCTCGTATAAATCGTAATAATTTTTCATCAATTAGCAAAGAACTATTGTCTTTTAAATTGCGCTCATTTAGACGTTAGAAGCCATTTCTTATCTAAATTAATAATTATAATAATGTATTAAATAATTATTAATTATGATATTATTATATTAGTGTGATGTTTCTAGGGATTTTTAGATTCAAACCCCACTCCCGTGACACCAATTTGTGAGTCGCCGGGTAGATCGGAAAGTCCTCTCCTTCCGGCCACAGGTCGGTGACCTACTTTTCTTGTCAGGGATGGTAGTAACGTTCGGTTACGCGTTACGCGAGTGGAGGAGAGTCGGAGGGGTCGACCATAAGACGTTGGCAAAGTCGAGTAACGACACCATTTAAAAACAAACAATGGCTTATTTAACTAGCTAACTAAATAAAAATTTTACAAAACTTCATAGACTTGGCGGATGAGAGAGAGAGATTACAATAATAAGCGTTCATACCTCTTTGCATATACTAGTGGGATATTTTCCCTTAATGTCGTCCAAATAGATTCTGATCGGTGACACAAGTATAGGTCGGCGACGAAAGTGTAAATCTGTGATGGGAGTGTAGGGCTACGATGGAGAAGGCGATGTCTGACTTCGACGTTCGGCGATTCCCCCGATGAGGGGAAGGTGTCGGGCTTTTATACTTTTTGTGGTGGGAAAATTCGTCAGGTAACCATTTGTTTTAACAGGTGTGAGGTTAAAGGTGGCGATAGAATGGCAACAATATGACGAATTTCGCCCGTAATTGTAAACAATACATGGTTTGATCGTCAGAATGTTTATACTTAAATAGAAAGATTTATACTTTTCTCATGCACCTCAAATTTCGTTTCTGCAGGTGCAACTTCCTCTAGTTTTAAAGGAATTTTTATTTAAATTTATTAAAATTTTAAAAGGTTACTTTCTTTTATGAAATTATATGCACTTCGAATTTCACATTAGTATGTAATCATTAGTAATAGCGGATTTATAGCTGATTGTTTAAGGCATCGTTATGTTGAACTGATAACTTGAATGGACTACAAAAACACTGGTTGGGACGGCAAAGACACTGGTTGGGACGGCTCCAACTCGTTATTTCATCGTTGATATCATTTCCTGACCTTTATAAACAAAACAATTTTCATTCCATACTTTAACGAAGTGGTGGTCGTTATACTATGTAATATCTTGTTAAAGTATAGAATGTTAGAATATTATACATTATAACGGGCCTGTTTAAGTATTCTATAGAATAACGGATTATAGACTTTAACGGTCAGAAAATAATGAATATTTCCTATATAGCCTATCAGAAAATAATGAATATTTCCTATTTTAGGCGTTTGATAATTTAATTATAATTAAATATATAAATTTATACTTAAAAAATTTCTTACCACAATATCTATCCACAAAACTCTTTAAACAAAATGAGTATGGTTTTGTATTTAAGCCCTCGGTTTTAAAAAAATAAAGCAAAGTAAGAAAAATGAAACTTTTAACTTTCATTTCGATATTTTAAATTGCTTCTGATTAACTTTTGATATATTTATATGAGTTTTTTTTAAAGCTGAAAGACTTCTCAATGATTGATTCGCTGATCCAAACCAATTATTTCATCTTCAAAATAATTTGAATTATTCAGTCTTCTTGATAACCTTCTACAGGTTACTTTCTCAAGGTTGCTTTGTTTATTATATAATAGTGAATTTGCCTTTATCTATACGATCAGCTTTATTCCTGGAATATCAAATAAGATCGTTGTTAAACAATTTTTTCATAAATATTTTATAGCCTGGGGAAGATGTTATACAATTTTAATAATTTTAATTTGAGGTTTAGTTATAGCCTATATTTAAATAAGATTTTTAAAATATTAAATAAAAGTTAAAAGTTATCTACAGGCTTTCTAATACGTAAAGCGAAAATGTTTGTTTGTTCGTTTGTTTGCTAGAGGTAAACTCCGAATAAACTGAGCCGATTTTTAAAATTATTTCGCAATTGCAAAGCTTATTCCTTCAGGATGAACATAGGCTATATACTATTTTTATATTAGAAAAAGAAAATGTACGAGAACGATGTTTTTACCGTGTATTTGTCTACTTCGTTCAAGAATACCCTTCGCCATCGGATGGGTTTTTTAAACTTATTATTGTGTTATATTTTTGGTTTCGATTCGTACAGTTTGGGTAGTTATGTAACTTATATGCTTTATTTATATTATTTTGGTTACTCGTTTCTTATAATAATATCCTTATGTTATCAGATATCTATCTACATAAATTTAGTTCTTTCAGGTGTACACTGTGCGAACGAGCTTATCGACGATAAAATGCCTACAAGAAAGTTGCAATTGTCGCGAAATACATCCGTGTCATTGGGAAAGCTTTCACTTTCCGATGTATAGTACGTAAGCTACCTTAAAACTCGACTCTCTCTCTACTTCCTACCGGTTTCATCTTTTCTACAAACCCCTAAACCCTTTCACCGATGTGGATCCAAATTTTGCACAGTTAGAGTTATTTCACACTGAGAGAATAGCGAAAGCGAATGAGAAAAAAGAAAAGCGATTTTTATTCGTTTAGCGAAATTGATCCACACATTCAAAAGTGAAAAGCGACTGCGTATTTTAAACAGCCAATTATTTGCAAGAGAAAACGTCATCTCGAAAAACAGAATGGCTGCTTCCGATATTCTGCTGTTAATCATCTTTGTTTATTTATTGAGAAAAAAGATACATCACAAAGAAAACGATTCTGGTCGAGAGGAATATTAAAAAACCGTGAATTATAACATCTACTCTATTGCGTGAGAAGGTTTCTGTAGCCATCTTGAAAACAATAAGAACTACGTGACAACTAGCGGGAATACGATCGGTGGCAAAAGTTTTTCGCTAGCGAAACAGTTTGACAGTTCCGAATTTCGAAGCAATTCGCCGAAAACGACGTCATGTCTGACGTGTTATTCGCTCTGTTTATCTCTTTCGCCAGCGAATTGCGCTCACTGTGAACTAACCTTAATTTCATCTAAATATAATCAATTTAGATTATAAAAGATTTTTAATTACTTAAAAAAAAATTTTAGTAGCCTATAAAGAATGAATTGAAATTTGCTAAAATTTAAACTTCTTTGAATGAAAAAAGTTCCAGTGGCCTTGTTTAATATTTTATTATTTAATAAAAAGATTGCCAAATAAGATAACAACTAGAGAACTTCATCGGATGATATATGTAAGGTCATCTATCAATACTTAATTATTCATGCACAGTTATTTGTTTAAAACATTATATAACAGGGCTTGTTTTTCTGTCTTCATAGCAGGAGATGCCTAGAGAACAAAGAAAGTACTTTATATTCAGAAAGAATAATAAGTGGTTGATGCGACACAAACCAGTCACAAAATGTGAGACTCCACCCTTTTCCAAAACTAATAAAATATCGCATATAAAATCAATAAAGTTAATAATAAAAATCAATTTTATTATAACAACAGAAACTTTAAGTATACACTGCTCACATTTTTAATATGAATATTGCATGCACTAGAAAATATTTTTCTTGTTCAATTATTGATAGAAAATAAGACATTTTTAAAAACTTGTATCGACTATATCGGTGTTTTTTTAGTCACTTATATACAGTATTTTTAAACATTTATGCAAAAATTATAATCATCTTAAAAATAACAAAAAAAATAAAATTTATATTTAAAAATAGGAAAATTAAAAGAAATTTTGATGTATATAAAAAACAATTAATCTGAATTAATTACTTATGTAAAAAATAATCTAAGTTAATTTTACAGTAGAACGATTATAACATCTACCTTTTTTTTAACACAAGAAGAAAATAATACATTTATAATTATTATAAAAAATGATTAAAATATATCCCATTTGTGTTTCTTCTGTTAGAAATAGATGTTTCTTGTTAGTTAATTTGCATTAACCTTCAATAAATAACAATCAACGATATGAATGGTTGAGCAATTCATGTACCGATACATGTCATAAACATTCGAATTTAAAATGCGAAAGTTTTACATCTGCGACGTTTCATTACAGAATTCTGAAATGAATTTCATATATGTAATTCTGTTTTTATTTATCTTTCTGCATGGAATCAACTGTCGGAATTTCTACCAGTTATGTCCAACTCGTACATTAGATAGATACTGTGGTAATGTTTTCAGTAACATTTTTGAGATATTAACTCAATTTATACGTATTTAATTCTAGTTATTTATTATAAATAATGATATTTTGTAGCCTTGAAAGATAAAAGGGGATCTTTAGAATGTGCTTATACTTATATTCCTCCAAGAGTAAGAATATATATTTATTACTTGATACGTATAATAATTATTAATATATTTAACTATTTAATGAAAATAAAATGTAAATAACTTTGGAACCGGATTTTAATCAATCTTTTTCAAGCTTTTTGAAATAGCGGAAAATTGTTTCAAAGCGATGGTCTACAAAGGAAAAAATATGACAATAAACCAAATCATAGAAGAACTCTGTTACCTGGGTGTGCATGTAAGAGTCTTATAAATTATTATTAATTTACATATGACATATACTTTTCTATAATATTACTTATAGAGAAAAAATTACATTTTAGGAATACAACGCAGTTGCTAACTGTGGTGAGGTAGCAAGTTTCCTAGATGATAACAGAAGTGGAAAATTAATTCAACTCTCTAATGTAATTAACATTAGATTTTTACTTTTTAAAAGTTTTTCTATCCATTTCTATTCATAATTAACAGTTTAAAGTACTGTACAGTTTATATCGTGACAATATGTTGGATTAGTCATCGACTTTATCACGATTAATTTAATTATATTTAAATCTAAATTTTTAATGTTTTTATCTGTTAGTTATTAAAAACAATTATTTCTTTTTCTGAACAACAATCTGCCGGAGTGAAGTTTTTCAAGTTTTCTTTCACCGATTTCTGTGGAAAATTTTCTTGTGAGACGTCCTTATTGGCAGCTTTCTCTTCTATTGCCTTATCCTTTCAAACCATACAACAGCAATTGGTTTTCTTTATACAGTAATAGTGTGTCGCCTTTTATTTGGTCTTCCTGCTTTTCTCTTTTTGGGTATATCATAAAAGATTAAATGAAAATAAGAAATATTTTATTATTTAATAAAAAGATTGCCAAATAAGATAACAACTAGAGAACTTCATCGGATGATATATGTAAGGTCATCTATCAATACTTAATTATTCATGCACAGTTATTTGTTTAAAACATTATATAACAGGGCTTGTTTTTCTGTCTTCATAGCAGGAGATGCCTAGAGAACAAAGAAAGTACTTTATATTCAGAAAGAATAATAAGTGGTTGATGCGACACAAACCAGTCACAAAATGTGAGACTCCACCCTTTTCCAAAACTAATAAAATATCGCATATAAAATCAATAAAGTTAATAATAAAAATCAATTTTATTATAACAACAGAAACTTTAAGTATACACTGCTCACATTTTTAATATGAATATTGCATGCACTAGAAAATATTTTTCTTGTTCAATTATTGATAGAAAATAAGACATTTTTAAAAACTTGTATNACTCCCGAATTAGAATATTTATTCGAAATTAGTTTTCTATAATATTTCAAAGATCATTTTGTAAATCTTTATTTATAAAAAAAATTAATATAAATTAAAAATATTTTTACTAGATGACAGCGGTAGTTTTCCATTCTTTTCAAATTGCATATCAAAACACTTGAAAGCTTTGATATGCTGAGAGATCAGATAATTTCTGCAAATGCGTTTATTTCCTACCCCAAAAATTGTAAACGGAAAACGTGTACACGTGTACAATGAAAAATTAAACGATATAAATAACTTTTAGTCCATATTTTATGTATCGTATATATTATATACATTCTTTCGATATATATTTGGAATAACACTTCTCTTCTGCAAGGTCTTTAAAATATAAAATAAGCCATAGGTCTATTATATGTTATTCATGGTAAATTTAATAAAAATAATGTTTACGAAACGATATATGTAATTGTTAACAACAGTTTTTTTTATTTCTGTACAGATCTGTGCAAACCATTATTTCCTTACTTATGGAGATATTTTAGGATTATATGAATGATTGAAAATCGAAGACTTTTAAATGTCGATAATTATAAAACGATTTTTTTTTATCTTACTTTAGGAGTTTGTCCCATTATGTAACAAGTAAATCATTCAGAACATATAATAAATCAAATAATTGACTATTCTGTATTCTCTTATCTTTACGCAAAAATAAATTACAGCAAAATTATTTCTCTGATTTATTTAATTATAGAAATTATATTAAATTATCAAGTTCAATAGATACTATACGCACTTTTAATATGTAAATAAAGCATTTATAGTTCTATCAATACGGTATTTATTTGGGAATTTAATGTATTTAAGATATTTTTAAATAAAATTTTAAAAAATAAATAGAAATTTAATATTTCGTAAATGCTTTGTATAATACTTAAGGGATTGAGTGATTTTTCTGTGTTGTAAAGAAAGTAATTAAAATGATTTTAAAAATACCGATGTTAGTAAAATTTAACTGATTTTTCTTAATATACTTAACGTATACAACCAGTCTTGATAGTGTTATAACATTTAATGAAGTCATAAATCACAAAACATTCCAATATAATTGTTTGTAAATATGTTTATGAGAAGTAACATTTTGTTGAGGGAAAGAAGAATGTGTTCGGTTATTAGTAAAAAAAAATCATTTCCGAATGATTAAAATCATTATTTAAATTTTATTTTAAATATTGCAAAATGGAGAAAAGATATTTAATACTGCATTATTATTTTTAATTTAAAAAATAATTGAACCTGTACATTAAATTTTTACAAACAGTTCACTTTGAATTAAAAAGATAGTAATAAGTTTGCAAAAAATTGCAGCATTTTATTAAAATTTTATATACTTTTCTTTGGCTCTAGTTGCTATTTATATTTTTCCTGGAATATTTCTAATGTATAACATTGCTTCTTAAATTAATTCAGTATTATTCTATCATATAAAAATTATTTTTCCTGAAAATTTAGTTTTGTGTAATATTGTTTGTTTATTGTTTTCTTTAATGATGAAGCTGTGAAGAAACACGATAACGTTTTTACAATTTATATTATTATAAGTAACGACAACATCAATACAAAAAGTAATTTCGATATGTTTTTTTTTTAATTAAGAATGCAATAAACACTCGAAACTCGTTTACTGTATTTATAATCTAAAATAAATACGAAAACACTTAACAATTACATGCAACATGATTGAATTATACTTAATTGTCAGGAGTAATACTTTTATCCTATGCTAAACAACATATTTTGATAACCAAATTGCTAAACATATATTAACACACATATAAATATAGATATACAGTATTTAATAGAAAATGNTTATTTGTCAATAAATTTTATAAATATTTTACGAACTTTATTTCATACGCATTTTTGAATAAAAACTTGTATTTTTATTTCAGAAACTGCTTATATATAAGACTCCAAATATCAATAAAATTATTTTTGTTTTCTTTTTTTAGAGTTGTTTGCTTCTTACAGAAAGAAAGGAAAATAAGGTAACGAAAACATTTTCATAAATTTATAAGAATACTTTTTATGAATAAGTACGGTTGTTACTAGACTTTTATCAATATAAAAATACTCCCGAATTAGAATATTTATTCGAAATTAGTTTTCTATAATATTTCAAAGATCATTTTGTAAATCTTTATTTATAAAAAAAATTAATATAAATTAAAAATATTTTTACTAGATGACAGCGGTAGTTTTCCATTCTTTTCAAATTGCATATCAAAACACTTGAAAGCTTTGATATGCTGAGAGATCAGATAATTTCTGCAAATGCGTTTATTTCCTACCCCAAAAATTGTAAACGGAAAACGTGTACACGTGTACAATGAAAAATTAAACGATATAAATAACTTTTAGTCCATATTTTATGTATCGTATATATTATATACATTCTTTCGATATATATTTGGAATAACACTTCTCTTCTGCAAGGTCTTTAAAATATAAAATAAGCCATAGGTCTATTATATGTTATTCATGGTAAATTTAATAAAAATAATGTTTACGAAACGATATATGTAATTGTTAACAACAGTTTTTTTTATTTCTGTACAGATCTGTGCAAACCATTATTTCCTTACTTATGGAGATATTTTAGGATTATATGAATGATTGAAAATCGAAGACTTTTAAATGTCGATAATTATAAAACGATTTTTTTTTATCTTACTTTAGGAGTTTGTCCCATTATGTAACAAGTAAATCATTCAGAACATATAATAAATCAAATAATTGACTATTCTGTATTCTCTTATCTTTACGCAAAAATAAATTACAGCAAAATTATTTCTCTGATTTATTTAATTATAGAAATTATATTAAATTATCAAGTTCAATAGATACTATACGCACTTTTAATATGTAAATAAAGCATTTATAGTTCTATCAATACGGTATTTATTTGGGAATTTAATGTATTTAAGATATTTTTAAATAAAATTTTAAAAAATAAATAGAAATTTAATATTTCGTAAATGCTTTGTATAATACTTAAGGGATTGAGTGATTTTTCTGTGTTGTAAAGAAAGTAATTAAAATGATTTTAAAAATACCGATGTTAGTAAAATTTAACTGATTTTTCTTAATATACTTAACGTATACAACCAGTCTTGATAGTGTTATAACATTTAATGAAGTCATAAATCACAAAACATTCCAATATAATTGTTTGTAAATATGTTTATGAGAAGTAACATTTTGTTGAGGGAAAGAAGAATGTGTTCGGTTATTAGTAAAAAAAAATCATTTCCGAATGATTAAAATCATTATTTAAATTTTATTTTAAATATTGCAAAATGGAGAAAAGATATTTAATACTGCATTATTATTTTTAATTTAAANTTTCTTTCCCATGTTTCCTTTTTGTTGGCAAGACTCGCAAACACTCAAAAACATCTTGTTATCTCCTTGAGTAATATTCTTGTAATGAAGATTCAGTTCTTTTATCATCCGATCTCTGCCACCATGTCCAAAAGAAATATGTGTTTCGTACAGCATATCAAACAGATCATTACTTGAACATTACAATATTACCCCTGCTTCTGTACTTTTATAATTTCTCTATTCCTTGAACTTCCAGAATATCATAATATTGAAGTAATCTCTAGGTGTTTTCTTGTCAGTCAATCTAGCTGTCTTCACTTCTCGTATAAATCGTAATAATTTTTCATCAATTAGCAAAGAACTATTGTCTTTTAAATTGCGCTCATTTAGACGTTAGAAGCCATTTCTTATCTAAATTAATAATTATAATAATGTATTAAATAATTATTAATTATGATATTATTATATTAGTGTGATGTTTCTAGGGATTTTTAGATTCAAACCCCACTCCCGTGACACCAATTTGTGAGCCGCCGGGTAGATCGGAAAGTCCTCTCCTTCCGGCCACAGGTCGGTGACCTACTTTTCTTGTCAGGGATGGTAGTAACGTTCGGTTACGCGTTACGCGAGTGGAGGAGAGTCGGAGGGGTCGACCATAAGACGTTGGCAAAGTCGAGTAACGACACCATTTAAAAACAAACAATGGCTTATTTAACTAGCTAACTAAATAAAAATTTTACAAAACTTCATAGACTTGGCGGATGAGAGAGAGAGATTACAATAATAAGCGTTCATACCTCTTTGCATATACTAGTGGGATATTTTCCCTTAATGTCGTCCAAATAGATTCTGATCGGTGACACAAGTATAGGTCGGCGACGAAAGTGTAAATCTGTGATGGGAGTGTAGGGCTACGATGGAGAAGGCGATGTCTGACTTCGACGTTCGGCGATTCCCCCGATGAGGGGAAGGTGTCGGGCTTTTATACTTTTTGTGGTGGGAAAATTCGTCAGGTAACCATTTGTTTTAACAGGTGTGAGGTTAAAGGTGGCGATAGAATGGCAACAATATGACGAATTTCGCCCGTAATTGTAAACAATACATGGTTTGATCGTGAGAATGTTTATACTTAAATAGAAAGATTTATACTTTTCTCATGCACCTCAAATTTCGTTTCTGCAGGTGCAACTTCCTCTAGTTTTAAAGGAATTTTTATTTAAATTTATTAAAATTTTAAAAGGTTACTTTCTTTTATGAAATTATATGCACTTCGAATTTCACATTAGTATGTAATCATTAGTAATAGCGGATTTATAGCTGATTGTTTAAGGCATCGTTATGTTGAACTGATAACTTGAATGGACTACAAAAACACTGGTTGGGACGGCAAAGACACTGGTTGGGACGGCTCCAACTCGTTATTTCATCGTTGATATCATTTCCTGACCTTTATAAACAAAACAATTTTCATTCCATACTTTAACGAAGTGGTGGTCGTTATACTATGTAATATCTTGTTAAAGTATAGAATGTTAGAATATTATACATTATAACGGGCCTGTTTAAGTATTCTATAGAATAACGGATTATAGACTTTAACGGTAACATATGCTTATATATATATTATACATTAATATTTATTGAAGGCCATATATATTGTTTGAAGGATATATATGCATGCTATAAGAATTTCAATTTCAGGAGTGAATGGTATACATCTGCAACACTACAGAATTTCTGATATGAATTTTATATATTTAATATCGATATTCTTTATCTTGCTCTGTGAAATCAATTGTATAAATTTCTACCCGTTATGTCCAACTCGTTCAGTGGATAGATATTGTGGTAATGTTTTCTGCTACAATTTTAACATATTAATTTAATTTACACATGCATTAATACAATTATATATTATAATTTTCTGTAGCTTTGAAAGATAAAAAACCAGTTGCAGAATGCGCTGCTCAGTATAAATTGTCAAGAGTAAGAGTATATTTATTATGTAATACGTATAATAGTAAATAACATATTAAACTGTTAACTAGTAATAAAATATCGGTAATTTTGAAATTGTATTTTAATAAATAATCTTAAGGGTTTTGAAATTCTGGAAAATTGTTTCAAAGCGATAGATGAAAGAGGAAAAAACATGACAATAGACCAAATTATTGAAGAAGTGTGTAATCTCGAAGCTGATGTAAGTATCTCATAAACTGTTGTAATTTATTTTTGTAGTACTTTTCATAGAAAGAAAATTCACTTTTCAGGAATTCAATGCAGTTTCTAATTGTGTACAAAGTGGACTTCTCATAAGCTACAAGAAGGACGGAAAAGTTCTTGATTTTTATAATGTAAGTAACATTAGTTTCATTTTTCATTTTAATTCATTTCTCTTTATTAAAAATTATTTATAACAAGTTTATTTATCGCTAATTATTATTAAAATGCAAGTAATTAATTAGCTTTGTTATAGCCCGGTATATTCCGGACGTATCGTCTGATTATTGATGAATATCGGGTTTTATACATAATTGTTTTAAGTAACTAGGCATAAGTAATTTAATCTTGTTATATTTAAGTTATTTAAACGTATTTAAATAATTTTTGTTAAAGTCGCTGTTGTATTTCTGTAGTAATATATTAATTATTTTTTTCTTTTATTATTATACTAGCTGCAAGATCCCGCTTCGCTGGGTTTTTATTTGTATGTAATAGTATAGTTATATATATCAATATATATATATATAAAAGACTGTTTTTCTAAGTAATCTAGAATCTAGCTGCAAGGACCCGCTTCGCTGGGCAAAAAGCAACGATAGTGAAGATTAAGATAATTACATTATAGCTAATCTTACCCGTTTTCACAAAATGCAAGAATTAGGTCCCCCGTTTCCAGACTAATTAGAGAATTTTTACGTTTAGTCAAACGAACTATTTTCAATTTTAACAATTTTCTGGAAATC